TAGCCTCAAATTGTGTGCTAAAATATTCAGAAATTTAGAGATTTCAAACTATTTCCATTGTCTTCTATACACGCAGATCTCTTGCATAAACGAATTTATTACATGGTTTTGAGGCTAACACAGCGTAAAAGAGATCGCTTAAAGGGTTTATTATTCGAGAACAGCGCGTCTTGGACCTTAACCTCATGGACCTTAACCTCATGTAGTAGATGTCTTTATAGAAGTGAAAGATCGGTAGCTTTAAAATTTTAGAAAAACGGTAAACACCTTTGTAACCGTTCACACTTGACATCGGAGCAGTTTCATTTCGACCAACGGAATCTTTGGGCAAAAACGCCGTGAGGAACACGACTAACTGCACTTTAAGTAAATCACTTTAGGTTTTCTTTGCAGTAAAGAATGAACTGTGTGACACTAGAGAGAGTCTTACCCATCTATCAGCGGAGTAGCCTTCATGATTTCAACTGCCTTCGCTTTGTAGTCAGCATATCTTTTTACACGATGATTTGGCAAACCAGAGACTACAGCGAGAAAAAGGACCGCAAATATAGTTTGTAGGCCTTGCATACTTAGACACAGAGCTGATACCTGTTGCGTGTATTTTGCGTGGGGTATGCGTGATTGTCCGTTAAGCCCTAGTGAACATTTAAGGGAGCATTGCTTAAGGGGTTGGCCTTTGATCTCTCTCCCCTACGGTAGTCCTACTGCGTGACATTTATATCATGCGGCTCCTGAGCAATGCTCACGCAATGCAAATGTGGCTGATTTGCCCGTTAGGAGTGCAATAGAGATGACATGACTCCCCCGTTTCCTGCGCCTTCACGCATGAATGATAATCCACAGTGCTTAAGTCTGCAAAAAAAATTAATTGCCTCGTTGGGGAATAAGTGTGATCATGAATCGAAAGAATTTACTCATCATTGGTGCTGTGGTTGCCATCATACTAGTTGTAGCCATAGTCTTAGCTGTTGTGCTGAGTGGAAAGGACGATGATGACAAAGCAGAGAAAGCAACGGTTCGACAACGTGTCATGGCTGCTTTGGAAGACGTCCCACTAATAGACGGGTTTGTATCTTAGTTCTCGGCCTCATGTTTAGTTTTTGGAAAATTTGGGCAAAATGTTATCATCAGTTTGTCTGTGTCAATTCAGTTTTTCATTTGTTAGATCTGCATCATTGCATACTGATAATGAAAATTGTTCATGCGCGATTCGCGCCATGGCTTCTAATACAACTAATACAAATAATAAATTTGACTAAACGTGAACAAATTTTAATTAAATGTGGGCTGCAAAGAATTAAATTGTGGCTTTTTCATCACGGTAATTATTAGGGAAAAGCAAAGTTATTTTGTTTTGGACTGACTTGTGAAGTCCGCCCTAACGGAAATGTTTGAATGTGGTAAGTTTTGGTACGCTATTATCTATGGGATGTATTAACTTATTTGCGATTGGCAACTAGAAAGATGCAGAGCATCATTTTATGAAAATATCGTCTAATATCGTCGACTAAATTTAATTTTTATTAAGTCAATGTTTCTGCAAACAGTAAGCAAGTATAGAGATCAGATGACGAGGTCACTGGACAGCAGGCTRCCAGGTCTATCAACACGAATTTCATTAGTTGACAGGCTTTTTGAATTATCCCGACATGATTTTGAATTCCGGAAATTAAAGTTCCTTAAWATTTGATTCCTTAATCTTTTCCTTTCTTTTGTTCTCGCCTTCCTTCCTTCTCTCCTTCCTTCCTTTTTTACCCATTTGCTTTTTTTGTGCTCTTTCGKTGCGTTGTGTCTTTCCTTTTGGTCACTAGMARTAGGATAAACATTGACCCCATGCAGTCTGCTACCCCTGCTGTCGGCTACAAAAGCTCGACATCAAGATATGAAATTCAATGGACAYTGTTCTTACAGACACAATGACCTGCCATGGCAGTTTAGAAAGAAATACATGAATCGTYTAGCCAACATAACGATCGACACAGGAAGCCCGCGCTTACACACTGATATACCAAGGCTAAGGAAGGGAAAAGTTGGAGCGCAGGTTCGTTGACTTGTTCACTATATATATTCATATATACTACTATAACCAGTAATTTTAGGCCATGTGCATCCGAGATTCTTTCCTCGATCACACTCACACAAAAAATCACCATCTTTGATTTTGAACCAATCAGAAGTTCCGACAAATCAAGCGCGTCATTTGCGCGCGGCGGATTGGCCAATCAGAATAGAGGCACGTAATGGCATGTTGTCCCACAAAAAATGTAAACAAAGTCGGATCGGAGGGCGAAGTTGCGATGGTTTTGAGGTGTTGCTAGATCACTTGTAAGCAGAGGAGCGCACCCAGCCAGGCTAAATGGAGGACGATTCATTCTGATTGGCTTATCGCACGCTCGCGCTTGATTTGTCGGAACCAAGAATTAAATGATCGCAAATGTTCTCGGGTGTAAGTGGGTCTTGGTAATAGCAATGGTGATTGTCTTAGCAAAAAAGATTCAAAAAAGATTTTTTTTGTGCAGTTTTGGGCAGCATACGTCAGCTGTCGTAATCAATACAAGAACGCTGTGCGAATGTTCCTTGA